GGTCAAGAATCTGCAGCTCACTGGAGTGCATTGCCTTTGAATATGAAGTTCATTCACCTTGAAACTAAAACACATCCCCCAAAAATCTGAAGCTCACTGTCCTCAAGTTAGGATTTCATGCCCTATGGGGAGCCAATAGCCTAATGGTTTTATCCCTGGCCAATGAATCCAGACACCCAGGTTTGAATCCTGCCACCATAGATGGTGGAATTTGAATTGAGTCTCTTGGAATATCCATGAAACCATTGTTGATTGTTGAGGAAAAACCCATTTGTTTCACTAATATCTTTTAGGGAAGGAAACTGCCATCCTTACCTGGTTTGGGCCAGATGTGACTCCAGACCACAGCAATGTGGTTGACTCTTACCTGCCCTCTGGGTGGGGAATAAATGCTGGGCTAGCCAGTGATATTCTCATCCCATGAATGAATTTTTAAAAGATGACCTGGTATATATTCCCCTTGAAAGTGGAGCATGCTGTCCATGAATCTGCAACTTCAATTACATATTTTGAACCTAATTAGTAAAAATATCAAATATGTTACCTTAAGTGTAAGTGTGGGAATTCAGTCACCTTAGGTCTGGAGTACATTCCTTTTGGCAACACACTGTTTTAGATCTGGAGTTATGAGCCTCACAGCTACCCACAGTTAGACCGGATTGACTCAATGGCAGGCTCAGAGCCAAAGCTTTTCAGCAGCCCACTACCTAAGAAATTTGAATCATCATAGACTAGTAATGCATTCTATGGAAGGTGGGGTCTTCATCCTTCCTTGTGTCGATATCTCTGGAGACTGTTAACCTTTAAAAAGACACTTGAACTGCCAGTTAATAGCTGGAAGAATGCCACATCAATGATTCCTGTTTTAAAATGTTCACACTAACAAATATTTCAAAACACTATAGACTAAACGCCGTTGTGTTTTTGTAAGAAACCTATATTTTAAAGTACAAAAAGGAAAATATCCCCCTCTATAATTAGCACACTTCAAATAGGTTCCCACATCCCCATTTCACCAAGTAATAACTTCAGGTGATTGCCTTCTAGCACTTTCCTCAATTTCTTAGCAGTTCCCTTAATCTACCACCAGCTGTAAGGCCTGATATGACAATTCTTCTTCTCCCCAAGGCCATGCCAGAATGACTCTTGTGGAATTTTTAGAAATCAACTGGACTAAATTCTTCAATAAGAGACTATCTCCCTCCCACATCCTGATGTGATGGCTTGCAAAGTCAGTCAATCCTTTCTCTCTGCTATCCATGCAGAACCTCAGCAATCAGTCTGTGTTTGTCATTGATTTGTAGGGAAGCTTGTAACCTGATCTCAAAATCAACTTCATCTGACCTCTTCCCCATGGCATCATGAAACACATTAACCTCACAGCCAGGTAAAAATGCATTATTAGTTATTTTTGATCCAACTTCATTTCACCTTAGAAGTAAATGGACAGTGTATAGCACAACTGTTTGCAACCTGATACCAACACCGGCTTTTTGGGACTTTGGGAGACACAGTGTCTACACATGTTTGTCTCAGTCTCCAAGTATAATGGCTTGCATTTCTTCTCACTGCAACAATGCAGACCTACCTTTGATCTCTAACAATCAAACCACCCAGGCTTACTGTCAGGCAGATGGTATAACAGGTGACATAACCACTTCCATTTATCTTAAATTTAAAGCTTCAGTCCAACTATAATACATTTATAAACCTCATAATTGTAACACATCTTCAATATCAAAAGTTATATTAATCCCTAGGATATTGCTTTATTAGCTCACAATAGTTTGACATTCAATCTTAGGATAGTGCAACAATTCTTCTCTAAGGTGGGTTACAAAGGACACAATAGAATGGGACATATTGAAAACAATCTTCATTTTTTTAAAAATGTTGACCATAAAACATCAGAACAGAAGTAAGCCATTTGGTCCATTGAGTATGCTCTGCCATTCAGTGAAATTATTGTTGTCTGATAATCGTCAACTTTTTCTTAAGCAAACAGAGAAAGATGGAGAAATGGAACAGATCTGGCAGAATCTATGAAAAGAGAAATAGACTTAACATTTTGAATCTGATATGAATTTTCTTCAGAACTGCAGTTCTGATGAAGAGTTTTAACAGACTTGAAAAACTGTTTCTCTCTGCGAAAGTACTGACAGACCTACTCAGCTCCTCCAGTTTTCTCTGTGTTTATTTCTGATTTCTGGCATCGGTAGTATTTTGCCTTTACTCAACTTTCTGTTTCCTGCCTTTTCCCTATAACCCTTGACTGCCTTACTGATTAAAAATCTGTTAGTTTTAGCCTTGAATGTACTTAATGATGCAACCTCTACAGCCCACAGACTGGATACCACTCCGAGAGAAGAAATGTCCCCTCATCTCTGCCTTATATGGGTACCCCTTATCCTGATACTATGCCCGTTGGTGGTAGACTCTCACAGAAACGGAAATAGCCACTTCACATCTGTCAAATCCCCTAAGAGCCTTGTCTGTTTCAATAACATTGCCTCTCATTCTTCTAAAGTCCAATGAGTAGAGGACTAACTTACTCAATCTCTCCTTATAAGACATCTCTCCGTAACTGGAATCAACCTAATGAATCTTCTCTGGACTATCTCCAGCTTCCTGGATAGACTCACTTTGATGTTTTAATTTTATGCACCTCTATTGCCATGTCATACACTTGCTATGCAGTATCATCATGAGTTTATACCCGGCAATTAGAATTGAGTTTAGCAGGGTCAGAGTTGCATAGATTTGTCATCCCAAAAGCGACCTCTTGCTTGTTGGCTTTTGGAAAAAGTTGTGGTTTCCATTTATGAATCTATGAACTCTTAAAAAAATCACAATTTGAAGTTATCATATTTAAGCCACAGGTCAGTCTTAAAAGATTTCTGTCTCCATAATTAACAGTGAGAGTCTTTCTGGCTACCTTTGCATTTAGTAGATTAGTTCAACTTTCAACATGTAAACGTTACAAAGCCCAGTTCAGTTAAGAATGTATGTGATGTGAGTGCTGTGACAGAGTTGTTATACTCCAAATAGTTAGTGCATCCCTGGGACTTCTTTGTGTAGTTTTTTTTTAACAGTCACCGGAGACAAGAGCACCATCCAGCCCATGCTATTCCAGAAAAAGCAGACTCCAACAGTTATTTCTTCACACGGGGAATGTACCATTTGCTTGTGATCTTTACATGAGCCAGACATGAGTATTGAAAGGATCGCTGAGCTGGAATGTATTGCCTGAAGGATGCTGGAAGCATTCAACAGTAACTCGCAAAAAGGAATTTTATAGATAATTGAAAGTGGAGAAATTTGCAGAGCTATGGTGAAAGAGCAAGGAAATGTAACTGGATGGCTCTTTCAAAGAGACCACTGTAAGCATGATGGGCTGAATGGTCTTCTTTGGTGCTGTAGAGGCTATGATTCTCTGAATTCAGCTGTCCAAGTACCTCTGCTTCAGACATTATGGCCAATAAAATGATTTAGCATAATGGACAAAACCATGGCTGGGTGATAGTGGCACTATGTTAAGTGTCACTGGATCACAATCTTGTTGTTTCAGAACTGCTCGAGGGGCATTGGTTCAAATCCACTACAGCAACTGGTGGAATTTATTTCAATTAATAAAATCTGTTATTGAAAAGGCTAGGCTCTATAATGCTGGTCCTGAAACTACCAGTGACTGTTTTAATCCATGAGAAATAGGAACTGGAGTAGGCCATTCAGCTCCTCAAGCCTGCTCTACCATTCAATTGGATCACGGCTGATCTGACATTTTGCACATCCACTTTCCTGCATTTTGCTTCTAACCCCTAATTCCTCTACTGCTTAAACATCCAGCTATCTCAGCCTTAAATATACAGAAGGATTCTGTCCCCACAGCTCTATGTGCCAAGGAGTTCCAAAGACTCACAACCCTTGTAGAGAAGAAATTTCACTTCATCGCACTCTTAAATTGGCATCCCTTAACTCTGAGGCTATCCTCTCTAGTTCTAGACTGTACCCATGAGGGGAATATCCTCTCAGCATTTACCCAGTCATGCCCCATGAGAATCCCACGTCTTTCAATGAGATCACCCCTCACTCTTCTAAACTCCAGTAAGTAGAATCTCAACCTGTTTAGATTATGCTCATAATACAATCCCTCTATACCAGGGATGACCCTGTAAAGTTTCAAGAATCACCTCCAATGAAATAATATTTTAAATAGCTTAAATAAGGGGACCAAAATTGCTCACAGTACTCTAGATGTGACCTCACCAGTATCTTGTATAATTGCAGTAAGACTTCCCCACTCTTATACTCGGACCCACGTGAAATAAAGGCCAACATTCCATTATCCTTCCTGATGCCTGTTGCACCTGTGTTCTAGCTTTGTGTATTTTGTGCACAAGTACCCCCAAGTCCCTTTGCGTTGCAGTTTTGTTTTCTCAATTTTAATAATGTTCTTTTGTTCTCTCTTTCTAGATGAACATTTTCACACCTCCACACATTAAATTCCATTTGCCAACCTTTTTGTCCACTTACTGAACCTATCACTATCTCTCTGTAAACTGTTTGTATCCCTCTGGCAACTTGCTCTTGTCCTAAAGACCCATTTGGTTTTCTTACCTAGTGTAACTTTAATGTGACGACCACTGCAACGTGGCTGACCCTTTACTGCCCCCCGCAATGGTGCAAGCCACTCAGCTCAAGGACACTTAGGGAAAGGAAAATCTGTCCGTGCCGACGATACCGGTGAAAGAATAAGGGGGGAAGGATATGCTACCGGCATTACATCACCGTCGCTTAGGAATCTCACGCATAAATCTTTATTACATTTCTCAGCAATCCACGTGCGTATCCAAGGAAGGAGGTGCACCCGTAAAATATATGGAAAAAGAGTTTTGCAGTTAATACATTCAAACAAGCCTCTTTCTCCAATGTAGTACAGTTACATTAGGTTTCAGAGAATTTTTATTTTTATAAAAATGTTGTTCAAAAACAAAAGCAGCGCTGAGGAAATAAAATGTTTGTTATTCGCAAGCGGCACCTCTGCCACAACCAATGTTTTCGTCATAGCTTTTCTTTTAAAGTCTCAGAATGATTGAACGAAATTGTCCGACTGTTGTATTACAGACAACCATTCAGTCTCAGAATATGGTAGACTTACAGTGGGTGACACAAGAACATAAATATCTCTTCTAACTTTGCAAAATATTTTAAGGTATCTGTACACAAAGTCATTCACTTCCTCTTTTTAATCAAAAATTCAGTGTACTTGAAATGCTGTATATTTTAATAATATTCAAAGAGCATTTTGGCACATTTCTATATTATAAAACTACTGTATTAAACTATTACAAAATATGCAAATAATACGGTTTAGTAAATTTACAGCTGTTTTTGTCGAATTTTAATTCGTATGCAAAAAAACTTTGTACAAACTACTATTTTCATTAGAATGTTAATATTCTTTCTCAAGTTTCCTCGCTTTTAAAAAATAATTTCTTCCCATAGAATTCAGTCCCAGATGGAAGTGATCAAGGCGCCATTATGTGATAAATGGACAACAGTCTTTTTTTTCTGGCGCCCAAACGTTAATCGCAACACATCTGGGTTTACAAAATAGCACGTTCAACAAGAAACAAACAAAAAAATGTAACTGGGATGGTCAAAACGTTATATTTTTTGCACCTAGATTTTAAATTAAAATAATATATTCTCGTATTTTACACTATTTCAAATAACGAATTGTGATTCAGTTAAGTAATGATCTCTCCAAAATCTAATTTACAATTCTGTGTATAAAAATATAATTTATGGACCCCCAACGTAGCGTAACTTTGTCCAGAAAGAGAAAACAAGAACAGGAAAATGTGAGAGCGGAACACAAGATTAGATGCGTCGATGGTCCAAAGGGAACACGTTGCTGACGATTCTGAAATGTTTCACGATATCAGACTTTGTAGAAAAATATATTCTGCGCTCCTTGTTCGACCACACAAAATTATTTTCTTTCTGCTGGGGTCAAAGAGAGGTTCACGTGGGAATAAATTATCAAAGGAGTTTCTTTTTAAGGCCCTCGAAGTTCCAGGTTTGTTTTGGATAAAGGATTAACAAACAAACAAAAAAGCAGAAACAAACAATGAGAGAAAATACAAATGCAAACGAAATAAATATTCCCCCAAACCCCCAACAACAACAAAACAACAGGGGTCTCAACTGAAATTGTACTTGATTTCTCTCTCTCTCTCTCTCTCTGTGTGTGTGTGTGTGTGTGTGTGTGGTTCATTGTAAAAGTTTCATCTTGGGTGAGTTTCCCCCTTGCTGTTTCCCCCTTGCTGTAAAAAGATTTCAGCTGGAGTCCAATGTCATTCCCAGTGGGTGAATGGATGCCTCGTTCAAAACCCATCTGCCTATTTGATACAAGGCGTTGGAGTACCAGTGGACGCCGTCTTCCGGGACAGTACTGTTGGCTGTGAATGGGTCACTGAGTGAAAATAAGGACTTGGCCGCGTAACTCATTCTAACCGGCAAGAACGCCCAGTGGGCCAGTGCGTGATCCTCTATCACGGCATAGCAAGAGGCCAGGACCTGGTTGACCACGAGGGTGCCCTGGTCAGTCAGTGGGGCGTAAGCCCCTTCCATCTCCTCCAAATAAACCTTCTGAACGGTGGCAGCCCGCAGCCGCTGGCCGTCTCCGTCCGGCACGTAGACCAGATGCCCGGGTTTCACGTTGCTGGCGAAAGTGGCCCGGAACTGGGGCTGTCCCGGGCTCCGCCGCCGCAACCCGGCGAACAGCAAGTGAGCCGCAGTAAGGGACAGCTTCCTCCGGGGCTGCCGCGTCTCGATCACGTGGAAAACCTTGGTGGCCTCCCGGGCTCTGTCCAGGAACATGATAAAGTCGGTGTAGAACAGCCTGCCTTCACTGTCCGCCGCCAGCACACGGTCTCCCGCTCTCAGATCCTTCACCGCTTTCGTGGAACCGTTCTCCAGGCTCACGCGAGCTGAAGCTGGAAAGCAGCCTCCGGACTTTGCAGCAACTGAGTTTTCTATTGGAGAAGAAAGGGAAAGGGGTGGAAGGGGAGTGGGGAGAGAAAACATTATTGAGAATGATGCGGGGGAACTGTGTTAACGGAGGCATCGAGCAAGCTGTTCACAGACAGACAACGCAGAATACATTGGACATCATGGCTAACACTAGGATGGCCATTCTCTGGCATAACCCCCAAACACACCCACACCCCCACCCCAGGTGCCAGCAGCCAATCCAACCTACAATAGGCGAGGGGGGAATCCCTCACTTTAATAGAGGTCTTAGTGTTATAGATTTGTACAGCGCTGAAACAGACCCTTCGGTCCAACTCATCCATGCCGACCAGATTTCCTAAATTAATCTAGTTCCATTTGTCAGCATTTGGCCCATATCCCTCTAAACGCTTGCTATTCATGTACCCATCCAGATGCCTTTCAAATGTTGCTAATGTACCAGTGCCTTGGTAACCCTACTCGATGCCAATTTGCCTTGACACAGTGCCCAATAACTCCCCAACATGGATCAGGCTACATAAGGTCACCGGGAAATTTCTCTGTCCATAGATACTGCCAGACCTGCCGAGTTCCTCCATCGTTCTCTGTTTGCTTCAGATTTCCAGCATCCCCTATTTAATTTAATGTTTTTCTATTTTTCTAAACGACCTGTTCAGAGATATTATTATACACCTCTGAAACAGGTAGGATTTGACAGGGACAGCGACAATAACACTGCCCCACAAGAGGGCCTCTTATACAGGTGTTCAGTCGATCTTTGGACGCGGTAAAATGTTTTGTGCCCGCCCGAGCACTTAATCTTAACATCAAAACAGCGCCAAACATTGAACTTTTTTGTTGGGAGCAGAGCTCTTGCTTCGCCCGGCGTATTAACTCACTGCGCTCGGGAGATGGCAGTATAGTTCCGATCCACGCATTCCTCTTCCATAAGACATTAGAAGTTTTAACAGCTGCAATGCAATCGGAACCTTAAATCGACTCTAACGTTATTCTGCCTGCCCGCTCTCTGTCACAAACTAAGTAGACAGGGTTGAGTCTGGCCAAAGGGCAGTTTCTAGGCGTACTGGAATTGCTATAATTCTGTGAACACAACCCAGGGATAACCTTTGTTCATAAAATTATCCCTCCATACCGGGGATCAACCTGGTGAACCTTCTCTGAACTGCCTTTAAAGTGCTCTTGTATTCTAGATGTGCTCTCTCTGAGGGTTGTGAGTCTTTGGAACTCCTTGCTGCAGAGAGCTGTGGGGCAGACTCCTGTGTATATTTGAGGCTAAAATAGGTTATTGATCAGTAGGTGAATCAAGGATTACAGGATCTTGGGTTGTATTATGGGCTTAATCGGGATGTGGCGTGCGGAGTTGTGAATCAATCCTGTCAATCCTGTCTTTTTAAGATGGTCTCCCAGGCTTCACATCCGGGGATGCTCCTAGTTGAGTCCGTTCATTTTAAGTTATAGGCTCGCGGTCTTAAGGCTCACATTGGATCATTGCCTAACACTCGACATCAGCGTCTTTGGACACTCGCGTAGGCTACGCTTCTAAACACTACAATTATCGACCAGCAAGAATACTTCGTTATGCATTAAATGCTAGAAATATCTAGAAAGTCAGGCAGCAGCGCTGGCGACAGAAACAGAGCTCATGGCTCGATTTTAACGCTGGTTTTTGAATGGGTTAAAATCGAGCACAAATGGCTAACGTTTCTGGTCAATAAGCAGTTTTGAGAATTCATCGAAAGTTTGCTCTCTGTTCCACCCTTTATCGGTGTTGCCCGATCTGCTGTGTATTATCAGCATGTCCTATTCATTTCAGACGCCCAGCATCCGCAGTATTTTGCTTGTTTGATTGATTTTTAATGTCTGTTTGCTGTTTATCCCAGTACTTATAGCATTAAAGAGGACGGCATTTTGAGGTAACTGGCTGGAAGTGGGTTGCAAGGCCCTCCAAACTGTCAGAGAGAGAGAGAATAAGAACCCTGGGCATAAACGACTACTTCATAGCCAACCGCAAGTGACCTCTCAGATTCCAATTCCAATTGATCAATCACATCAATGTACAACAATAAACTGAAAGACAACTGTAATTAATGTATTTCTCTACATCATACTGACAGCATCGTTTTAGGATGGGAACAGCTGGCAGACCGCTTTAAGTTCAGTTCAATTGTTGGTCGCAGCATCAGTTCAGGAACGAAGAAGAGTTTTGGTTTACCTTCATTGCCCTGCCCAACCTCCCCTGTAATTAAGACTTCCATCTATTTAGCATGAATCTAACCGATTTGGGATAGTTTATTCTGTTAGTATCTGACCAAATAGAGTTTTGCCTGAACTCTAAAAAACCGCTAGTGACCCCTGAATACTTTGCTCACGAGTTTCACAAAAATACTTTCCCCAGGTAAAACCTCCTCCAACAGACATTTTCCTCCCTTCTTCCTAGATCTTCCTGCTTTTCTGTGAGAATATGCCAAGTAGGCTGTCTTCTTCAAACCTCCAAATTCTGCATCCTCTGGGACTGGACAACCTCCAGTCAATTTATCTCCTAAAACAAGAGATCAAATTGCATCCAGCACTCCAGGTAGGCCTTCGGTGCTAATGCAACATTTCTGATTCAATCACACGCTAGCTGCGTTTTGCTTTTAAATCTATTCGTTCATGGTATGTGAGTGTGGGTGTCATTGCCTAGGCCAGTATTTGAAGTCCACCTTACTGTGGACCTGGAGTCACACTTACCGGGTAAGAACGGGAAATTTCCTTTTCTAAAGGACATCGATGAACGAGATGGGTTTTAAACGATAATCACTTGGCCCTATTAGCATTTTATTCCAGGTCTTTAATGAATTTAAATGTCATCATCTGCTGTGATGGGATTCAGCTCTTGATCCCAGAACATTAGTCTGTGGGGTTCTTCTGGATTAGCGGCCCAGTGACACTAGCACTACACCCTGACTACTTGAGGGGAAAATGCAAGGGACAATTTTAACTAGCTATCCATCCGGACCCCACATCTCTTGCTCGCTGTGTTATTTCAAGCAAGTACTATGTAGCACAAGAACATAAAGGAAAAAGAGGCCATTTCGGCCACTCAAGCCTGTTCGTCCATTCAATGAGATTAGAGCCCATCCTTACCAGGACTACATTGACCTGCTTTGCCTCCATCACCATTTCCGAACCAGTACCACCACCCGCAGAGGAAATGGTTTCTCTCTGCTTACCCTATCAATCCTTTGAGCATCACAAGTCCAGCGCTACGCCATTCGCGCTGGAGGCAATACAAAACCGCATCCGTATAGAATTAAAATCTACTAGTCCCGCTTTCTAATGAATCCGTGCTTCAACCCTTGGAAGGCCAATATATCTATCCTGAATTTGATCCTCAAAACTGAACATATTCCTAGATTCTTGAGTGAGAGGCTCTGTGGATAGTAGCAGCCCTTCCTGCACCTCCCCCCTCCCTCTTTTAACCCAACTCATTTAGAGAACGAAACTGGTGCTTTAGCTTCACTTTAGCTAGGGCTCACTAGCGTTTCCTCCTCCTCATTTCTGCATACACATCCGTAACTCTCTCGAGAGGTCTCACCCATTTATTGAATACATTATTAACTGTGTGAGAGAGTTTTTGTGTTAAATTGTCGAGATTCGGGGTAAGCCTGGGAAATGGGAACATGACACGGACAATGAGATGTTGGGCAAGTCACGACAGGGTCAGACAGGGCAGGGTTCACTAAATAACCCATCCGAGTATGCCACTTTTACTTAGCCTGTATTTATAAAAGAAAGCTCTAATTTTCAGCAGGCGGTTATGAATCACAGCCCCAAGACCAACCAGGCATGCAATGACATTAGGTTCCTACTAAAACAAAATACCGCAGCAGCTGGAAATCCCAGCTTAAAATAAAAGACAAATCAAACAAATGCTGGAAATATTCAGCAGCTCAGGCAGCGTCGATGGGGTGAAACAAGTGTTGGCGTTTCAGGTCGGCATGGTACTGGTTAAAAGGAGAGGGTTCAGCCTGTGTCTGGACTCAATGCCAACCAGCAGTCACATCAGCGTTCACTGAATTTCAAAACCATACAAAAAGTTTTGATATTGAGAATTATGTTTGTGCTTTTGACGTTACATATTGTACTGCCGTGCTGTGTATTTGGATAAGGTAGGAAGATAAATACATTGCTATATATATACGTATGTACGTCTGAGACTAGATAAATAAATAACATGTAGATTGAGAGACAGATAGATATACTGAGATAGATAAATAGGTAGGAAGATAGATGAAAATAAGTAGATAGATAGAGCTAGAGATAGATAGACAAAGATAGATATAGATAGATTGATAGACAGATAGATAGATAAACAGAGATAGATAGATAGATAGATAGACAGACATTTCCATCAATTAAGTGGTAAGAAAATGGATTGACAGAAATGAACAAATCAGTTGCGGAATTGTTTGATGATATTTCCAGTTTCTATAATCCATGTACTGATTAAACCGCAAAGACAGGTTATTCCTCTTTAGCAGAGTCGACTTTCTTTATAGATTGGGGCTCATCTACTTATCTACCCCTTTCACTCCTCCCCCGTTCAGTACCTTTTCCGAAGAAAATCAGGGTCGAATCTTCAGAAAGAGATCTATTATCGGACGGGTCGCAGTCAATTCATCTCCCTTTAACATGAAGCTCTAAGCAAACCACTCAAAAGCAACTCTCAAGCCGTTGCATGTGAATGTCTCATATTTTAGGCGGATATTCAAGGACGCGAGAATGTAGAGCAGGATTGGAAATGTCTGAGAAATCTGGACTGCTAATAGTGGGAGGGAAAATTGATCGCTGGATTAGCCAGAAACCAAGGGGCAATTTGCCTTCATTCTGAAGAAAGGACAGGAACCATCTCATAGTCCCTAGCCCTCACACTGAAGAAAACAAAGTCCCGTCTGTTTCTCGGGAAGCCACTGATTAATAGGGGAGGAGAGAGAGAGAAAAAGGAAGTAACATTTTATGGATTTGTTAACGAGTTTCTCACCTCTGTTTCATGAAACTGATTTGCAAAGCTTGCCACAGATTAAATGCAAGAGAAAAAAAAAGTTGGTTGTTTTCTGGACGGGGATTTGTTTGGAAATAAGGGTTGGGGACGGGCTAGTGTCGGAGGGGCGGGATAACACTGAGAAGCAGAGGCAAGCAGGGTAGAAGTGCTGGCGAATTTTGCATGTGAGTTTGCTGCCGGTGACAATTAAAGCGGCAGAAACTCATCTGAAAAGCTGCTCTGTGTAGTGAGTGTGGGAGTCGAGGTGGGGAGAGTGAAGGAGGGGGGTGAGGCTGGGTCCATTGCAGTCTAATTAAAATCCGCTAAAGGGGCCGTATTGTCAATCTGATTCAGCTAATGGAGGAGACACTCTTGGAGAAAAAAAAAGTGGGTGGACGTCTCCACTTTCTTTCCCAGCTCTTGGGCTGTTTGCTCAGGTGCACAAGCCCCTGTTGTGTTAATTCACACACACACACTACACGCCAGAATGCAGGCTCTTGCGAGAGAGAGAGAGAGAGAAAACAGCCCGGTATTTGCACAACAGGAACAGCACTGTTCCGTCTTGCCTGGCCACTCGAGATGTGTATTTGAATTTTAAATAACCAAGATTGCCTTTAAATGCAACCCATTATCAATGCCCCCTTCTCTCATTCGGCCCGTCTGACAATGATTCAGGAGCTTGAGACAATTCGTCTTTGCATTCCTATCTCTGGGATCATACTTTTAGCAAATACAGATGTAGAAAGCGAATCTTCCTCGCCGGAACGCTTTTTTTCTCTCTCTCTCTCCTTCTCTCCTCAGCAGACAGCATATAATCTTCTCATCTGATTCCCCGTCATGAAATGGTGGCGGAACAAACGGATAGGAGACTGAGCTAACAGTCTTTTCCAATAGTCCGCCTGGTTTCCGTCACACGCCCCACATGACACAGAATGGAATGAGCCGGTGTGTTTAGAATTTTAAGTTATAGATTTGACACTCTCCTATTTAAAGTGAGGCCCGGGATTACACTCGCTTTTAGATGAATCTTCACGGAATTCTTATCTCTAATTCAAGATCTCCTTTGCTGTCGCCTGCCCCGGGCCCGGTAAATCCTTTATTAAGACAGTGTGTGGCGTTACAAGCACGGTGAATGAGCTTTATGTACGCTTGTGTCTGTGTGTATGTGTGTGAGAGAAAGAGACAGAGAGAGACTGTGTGCGTTCGTGTTCCTAAAACAATATCCCAGAGAGCAAGACTGCACCGACTCACAGAGCTGGAAATCATAGGACACTTAAAACACAGACGGAAGCCAATCGGCCTATCACTCTCCCCTTCTCGCTATGCAACAATTTCCAATTCACTGGATGCTCTCGTCGACTAAAGGAAGGCTCAGGGACTGTTCATCTGAGGCTACACCGTCTACCGACTGGAAGCCCTTTGTAGTGGTGTGTGAGAAATAGACAGGCAGATAGATATAAAAGAGTTCGGTAAATATTCGCAGGCAGATTGGAGCTGGGCACCTTTTGGCTCGGACTCAAACAAGTCAACCAAACGGAGAAAAAATCGTCAAAAGAGCTGCAAAACCATAAAGCAACGATGAAGGATTCAGCAAAGTCTATATCGAAAGTTTGTCTCAGTTCTCTCCCTAATTTCCGATAAAGAATCCATTACTCACGATATCATCGTTGATTCCTTTCCCCGATTGCTACATTTGTATCTAAAATAAGTTATCTATGGAGTTACGTCCAGCTATCTAAAACACACCGCGCTCAGAAAGTTATAAATTGTAGCAGAATTGCGCTGGGGTTTCCTTGGGAAAATCATTAATTAGCACACCTTGAGAGTGGAGGTGGAATGGTGCTTACATTCAGATTTTGATTTCAAGCTATTGTTCATATTTTGAAGGGCTCTTGGAACTATATTCATAAAGAGTTGGCCGCGCGTTCGCTCATTGACACTTCATTCCAAAGTCGTGTCTGCCCGGACACTTGTTTAGAACGGCTAGTGCAGTCTTTTGGTGCTATAGAGAACTGGTTATCTTGTCTGTCCAAGGAGAGTTTCCATTCCTTGTACATCAATCAGTCACAACTGAGTGCAGATGCGACTGTTAACAGCGACCTCTTTGGCTTGTTAGATCCAACATGACACCCCTGATAAACTCGGCGTGGATACACTGTAATTTTAGCAGTCAGTCAGCTCCCCACTCTTTCACTACTCAGTTGATCAGTGACCAACCGGGCTTGGCTCTTTGGTAAACATTGGGGACGTTTATTTGCTCACGTAGGTCGGGATTTGCCATTTCAACATCGCCCCCTCCCCCAATCCCCGCCAATTCCACTCCCCCAGTGTCCAGTGCTCTAATAGGGAGGCTGGTCCTAACAAGACAGAGAAGCGGGGAGCTTGTCAGTGCTTCCAGCTAGGTAAAGTCCGACACCCACAAACTATGTCCACACTCTGGCAGTGGGATGTACCTCTATAGGACACCCTCGGAAAGTTCCGCCCTTATTTGTGGGCACCTTTTATTAGTTTGGCTCGGGGACCTGGAGATTAATCAAAACTAAACAAATTAAATGGTTGGATTATGAACCGGGACAGTGATTATCGCCTCTTTAAGAGTGCATCCTCATTTATTGCATCCTTCCTACCACTCACCATGAATTAATGACCCACATTATTTATTACTATATCAGTGGGACTCCGCTGTAATGTTTCAGCGCCCCCAACCCTGCAGGGAGTGCCAGGAAGCGATGGCTGGCGCCTGGGGTGCCTCGAGATTAAAAAGTGTGCAAACGCAGGTATGAAATATGGCCATGTTCATCAGGAGCAGTCCAGCCGACCTTTCGCTTCTTTTAGTGTGTGTGTGTGTGTGTGTGTGTGTGTTGGGGGGGGGGGGGGGGGGGCGCGTGGGTTGCAGGGGGAAAGGCGGCCACTTGCTTTACAGCGCTCCCTCACCTGCTTTGACCGAACAGTGAATGTGGGCCTTGGATTCGTAGTAGACCCAGTCGAAGCCCGCCTCCACCGCCAGCCTGGCCAACATGCCGTACTTGCTCCTGTCACGGTCCGAGGTGGTAATGTCCACTGCTCTGCCCTCGTAATGCAGCGACTCCTCCGAGTGATGGCCGTCTTCGTCCCAGCCCTCTGTCACCCTGAGCTTCACCCCGGGCCATTGGTTCATCACTGAGATCGCCAGGGAATTCAATTTGTCTTTACACCTCTGCCAAGAACGCCAAAGAAAGGATAGAGAGAGAGAGAGAGAGAGACAGAGGTAAAATCATTGAGCATACCGTTGCGTTTTGGTTATGAAACAGACTGTAGCATTTAATGACGGGAACACTCGATATTTACTTCAATATTGACCAAATAGGAACATAGAAACAGAAGGAGGATTCGACCATTCGGGCCTTCGAACCTGCTAAGCCATTCATTGTGATCGTAGCTGATCATCCAATTTAATCAGCTTTTCCCGATTTTCTCTTATATCCTCTGATCCCTTCATAAGATATTGTCACTGGACTGGTAAACCAGAATCCCAGGCTAATATGCCGAGGATATTGGTTCAACTCCACCTCTGCAACATACATACACACACACACATACATACACATCCATGCACATACACACACCTATATGTACGTACGCTCACATATACATACACATACAGACACCCATACACACACATACGTACACACATACATATACATACACACACATACGTACACACACATATACACACGTGCCCACACAAACACACGCACCACACATGTGCATATATGCACACACAGATGCACACACTCACATACACACATTCGCGCACATGCACACATTCCCAAACATACACACTTACGCACACATACACACTTACCCATACGCACACTTACAAACACACACATACACATCCATACGCAGTTACACACCCATACACACATATAAATATACACACATATACACACGTACCCTTACATACACACTTGAATTCAATAAAACATAAATTTATCCTTTTATAGGACACGTGCGCACAGGGGCAAAAGAACCGACAGTTTCATAATGATTTGAATATCGGGATCTCCACCCTCAGAGTACTGTACACGAGAGGGCCTACGGCCTGATCAATAACCTACTCAAACCCTTGTGTTCCTCCTCAGAACCGGCGCTTTCGTCAATTTCTCTCAGCTCGATCGCTCGCTGGTGGAATTGAAAAGGGTAAAGTAAACGAGAACCAGACCTCTGTGTCCACCACCAACTCTGACACGCCCTGCTGATTGCTGGTCTTAGGGAGCCAGCTCCCCTGCTCAGGGTCAAGAAGCCTCAAAGGGTTACGAGAAAATAGGGCGCTGGGGCGAGTCATCTCAAGAGCTCCCGGTCAATTGATTCTGGAAGATGTGGGTTCCTCCCTCCCAAGTCTCACATACATAGACACCGAAAACTTTCACCCGAGTTCTGAGCTAAATCTGCACTGATCTCGTACGGACGGACGGGGGGGGGAGGGGGGGGAAGTAGCAAGATAGGAGGATGTAGCTTTACAGCTTCTAGCTCTAATCTCGGCGTGGATTCGGCGCTGGGATATTTGGCCTTCTCCAGGGCAACTATACACGGCCCCAGACCAATGTGTAAAACCAATCCGGGCCCACAAAGGCCCTTTGAAAGCACAGAATGTGTGTGTGCGTGTGTTTGAAGGGGGGGAGGGGGAAGATGATGACATAAAGAGAGAGCTAGTTTATATATGAGAGGGTGAGATGGGTGTCTTGCTGCCTGTCTCCCTAGCCCTTTGCCAGCGCTGATGGCATTGCGCTGAAGAAGCCAGTACTGTGTCACATCGCTGAGGGCAGTCCAGATAATGCAGTGAACATTTCTGCCCTGGCATCATTGTTTATCACTCCTCCGGCATTAGGATCCGGGGCAAAACGAGCCAAAAAAGGTGGTGAGCGGACACCAACAAATCAATGCTTGTCTCGGCTTGGCCGGGAGCAGCACCGAAGTTGGAAGGAGAAATGAGATTGAGATGGATGCATCACGAGAAAAGAACAGTGTCAGAGAGAAAGAGCGTCCTCAAATGACCCCTTCTCCGTGTCACTTTCTGCTCATACCCATACACAATACCGCCCTCCCACACATACTTACACATACACATACCGACACACACCCATAGTTGCACACACACTTACACACATACACATACATACATACACAAATACACACACACACGCACATTCTACCCAGCACCTAGTCAGATCCCACTCTTTATTTGCATGATCTGGAAGTTGCCCTTTGCAAATGGTCCCAGCCACGTTGAGAGCTCACTCTAACCGCTAAATCAGGTCACTAACGCGCAGAGATCCGCGGCAGACTGGGAACCGGGCAGGGAATGTAGGTTCAAAGAGATGCCGCGCACCGCGACTCCTTTTACAAAGTAAATTCTGTGCAGAAGCAGCGGATCCGGGGAGTTCGTAATCTCGGGGCTCTGACCCAGAGACAAGGTCGGTGAAAAGCGGCGGGGGGTGGGGTGCAGCTCCTGTTCAGGGCCTTCCTGGGCCGGGGACTGCATGCGGGTAATGAGCAGCTAGCAGCCCAGTGCAGAGTGACAGCCTGGCGGACGCTCTCTACAGCCAGGACGTGTCCAGCCAATCTCACTGACATCGGGAAATGAACTGAGAGACAGAGAGACAGAGAGACCAAGTCACTCTACAGCTACATGCCCACAGCTCGCCGCCGCTGTGAAATGTAGAAACTATGGGCTCAGTTGGTACATCCCTCACCCCTTATCCCCGGTCTAACCAATCCCAAGTTCCACAGGGAAAGAACCAAATCGGGGGCAGCCATACGCAACGGTGTGAATTCGCTCATACCTAGCCGTGCCTCATTCACACAGCACCCTCCATCCCTCATTCACCCCGTCCCTACATCAATCCCGTTACCGCCCCCGCGCCCCCCCATCCACACATTCACTCGGTCCTCTGCATCAAACATCCATTGCCGGGCCAGGGCTGAGGTTTCTCACTCCGGGGAAGGCCTGGCTTAGGGTCGGTGGGCGGAGGGGTTGGGTCGGGGGGATAGATGGGGTGGGGGAGAGAAGGGGTGCTGCTGCTTGCCAATGAGAGCTGAACTTGACCTTCGAGAGAGAGATAAAAAAAAGCTGAGGGGGGGGGGGGGGGGGGGGAAACCCAGGCAGGACACGGGCGTGTTGCTGACGGCTTCAGAGTGGGAGACAGCGACAGAAGGTCATAAGTTCAAACGCTGGCAGCTAATGCAGGATCCGTGTAGAGATGCAGCCTATTCCCAGGACATATCCTCCCTGCTCTGTTCACTCGGCTCCGTAGCCACACAGCGACGGTACCGGGGGAATTCAAACCACAGTCAGCGATTTCTGAACCAAGCTGGAGGAGAAGAGCAATTTTATTTCGCATTCCTCTCCCTCCCACCCCTCTGTTCATGACAGAAAGAGATTGAGTTGCAATGACTCCTGGTTATGGAGAGAGAGAGAGGGAGAGGCGACGATGAAACCGTAGTCAGTACGTGATCGATAATGGAAGAGGAAGTGGAGCTGAAAATTCGAGACGTGTGTGTGTGGATGTGAGAGAGAATGTGAGAGCGAGCGAGAGAGAGACTTTGAGATCGCTGCCGGAGCATGAAGCAAGGGCGGTCAGGCACTGTCGTGAATCCTGGCAAAGGTTGAGTGCAGACGGTCGCCCCTTCTCAAGGCGATTGGGGAAGGGTGGGGTGTGGTGCTGGGGAGCTCGGTTGTAGCACAGGAGAGCTCCACGCGTTTGCTTGTAAACATTAAACCACTCCAATCGCTTAAAAGGGTAATATCGGCGCGTCTGTATGCGGAAATTTGCACACCACCCCTCCTTATCTTTCGTTGTCACCCCATGTGTGGATTAAATACACAATGGAGTTTTAGACGCGGAGATATACGTTAAAATCCCACTAACGAATGTCGGTGGGCCCCACCAACGCGGTACCCAGCGCCTTATCCTGGCCCTAGAGAGAGGAACTAGCTCTGACTCTGTCATTACCTTGAATCGTGCCCTTCTTTAAAGAGATGTTGCCGGCCAGCCCGTTGCCGTTTTAAATACGGATCCGGGCAAAGCGAGCGTACCCGAACACTCTCACTCGTCCTTCTTAAAGGGAATGTCAATATATTCGGCAGACACAACAGCGCAGGATAAAAATGTTGATGTGAACCCCCAGCTCAATACACAGCCAGGGAGAAGGAAGGAAGGACGGATCGATTCTCCCTTCCTGTCTCTCTCTCTCTCTCTCTTTGCTATATTTAGAAAAGGCAGCCTCATTAAGTCATCCCGGCTCAGATCTGCGAGGTCCAGGAGCTATTTTAATTGGAGAGACACGGCAAGATGTTGAGAGAGAGAGAGAGACAGAGGATTAAAAAAAACGTCAAAGGGACGGTCCGGTGTGGTATTGACTTGAAGGTGCCTCTGTCGTACACTGTGATAGATCAAAGTCCAGTGGCACAGACAAGTGTAAACACATTCACAAACCCAGTTTCAAGATGCGTTGCTTGCCAACAGAATGATAATAAGAAAGCAAGAGGCTAAATAAAAACCCGAGAAGATTCAATCTATAAAGTTTCCTCCAATCTTGGACCCCCGCCCCTCGGGCTTTCTCCGTAACCTGCGGGACATACCCGTCCAAATAATTACTCCCAAAAGGAGGGAAATGAGGTGGGCGAGAGGGAGAAACGTAGCAATTTGCCCCCCATACCTGTGTCATCAGTCTGTCGGCCCCCGTGTTCTCTTCGTCCTTAAAAATAATGTCCGGATTGTAATTGGGTGTCAATTCTTTGAACCTCTCCGAGTTCCTGGTAATCTTGCCTTCGTATCTGCCACTTGCCCCCAGCGTCTTCTCTGCCACGTTGGGGATGTATTGCTTGTAGCCGAGTGGGGTTAGTTTTCGGGGGTGTCTCCTCCGCCCGTAGCCCCGGCCAGGTCCACAAGCTTTCACAGGCGAGACGAGACAACAGCAAATCAATCCCACGAACACAATTCTCGTCAACATCATGTCCACAGAATCCAATCACTCGGGGGTTCCTATTTCTCTGTGTGTGTGTCTCTCTCTCTCTCTCTCCCTTTCTAGCCTCGAATTCCCAACAAGGCAGGTGCTGAAATGGCACGTTTCAGATCCCCGATAACGGTTACACATCGGCAGCCTTCACTGCGTTTTTCTCTTGATTGTGCATCTGTGTGTGTGGAGGGGGAAAAAAAAATGGAAAAAAAAATGGACTAAATGCTGTTTAAAGGATACGAGACCTGGAGACGCTTCAGAGAGACTGGCTGTACAGCAATGTAATATAGCTTCAGAAGGCACAATAGTGAGATCTGATTGGCCAGCCGGCAGCTACAAGCTTCTGATGTCTCTCACCAAAACCAACAATTTCCGAAAATTCACCTGAGGTCTAGCGTATCAGGAGCGGGAGGAGGACTGCTTCTCGTTATGAAAACATCAATTACAACTTGTTTTCATTGCCACGTCTGCCCCGCCTTGGAAATGCAAATCAATTCGCCGCCACTGACTGACTTGAGCGTAAAGTCTCCGCGACTTGACATACGGAACGGCGGAGCGAATCGCTGATCGAAGTTCCCGAAATTGTCCCCATTTGTAAAGACGGTCTTGTTAACAGCTGCCATCAGGCGCAACATATCTCTTATCTAAAGAGGTTTTTGTTTAGAGAAATTCCGCCGCATGCAATAATGGCAAATGTATAAATGGCAACAAATAAAGTGTTTATTTCTGCATCTTTTCCCTGTTGATATTTCAGATAAACTTAATTTTCCATTGAAATCAGAATTTTGTCCTTACTTTTATGTAAAGCTAAATAAGCAGCAGCTAAGACCAAAGTTTTTTTTTCTCAAACTGCACAATCTGTCTATTTGATATCTCTTCAGCCTAGGTAGTCCACGGATATTAAATTTCTGTTAGAAAGTTGAACCATGAACCGTTAGTTAAAGCTGGCACGTTTATTTTTCGAATTCGGTGGGTGTAACATGCTGGTAGGCTAAGAAAACACTTCCAATAGTCTCTTGGACAGTATTTTACGATCCAGACCTTTGCTGGAAAAAAACACCAAGATGGGAAATACATCATTTAATGTCCCATCACAAAATATCCTGGTAAATCAGACTAGAAATTACTAACTGAAAACGAGTTGACCGCCTCCTCCACTTGGAATAAACAAAAGAACAAGTTGACTGCCTGGGTACTGAAGGATACGGAGCGAAAAGTTACTTCGCTCATCCCTTATCTCTTTTCCCCTTCTGTGTCTGCAATTCGCCTTTTTATAGGTGACCGCAGGGGACTAGTGCATTCGGAATGGGGTGAGGAGAGCAGAATGACATTTGCGAATGCAGTTTGACAGCGATTGAGCAGCGCGGAAAGGATGATTTTAAATTTATTTCTATCTCATGCGACGTACCAACGACGACACAAGATATCTTTTTATCCCACTCCAAGTGTACGGAAAGGCTACATGCTGTAGCGAGGGTGTCCCAGGATTTGTGTGGCCTTGGCAGTGAAGCATGTAAGGTGAAGTCAGGACAACATTGTGCCTGACCAGCAGTGAACTTATTCAATGGGATCTTTTAGCACATTTCGTCACCATGTGTTAGATATTTCACCTGAAGATTAGAGCGTTCCTCCCCACCCAAGTGATTTTTTTTTAAAAAAAAGAACAACATACAGCAAAGTTTATTCAGAAATAAAAAAAAGTCCAAGGTTTTGCATCCTTTTCCTGTGGCACACACTGTATGTTACCAAGGAACTCCATGGCAGATGAAGTGAGCACAAATTAATTCAGAAGATTCGGATGTCACAACCAAAGTGTGGCTTCCTTTTAATTGTACCCTTCCCAGGCACAGCTAAAATAGGCAGAATGAGCGTCGTTGACGGAAGTTGCTTTGCTGAATTTTGATCGCACGCACTCTTAAGTTTATAACGGGAGGGTAGGGCAAGTGACGATTGCAGGAGATGTACATCATTGGATTTATTTCACCCATTTCTTTATATTAATGCATTTAAAAAAACCTCCCGAAATAACATGGAACACAAATTCAGAAAGCACCAAACTCAGGAACACATTTCAAAGAAACCTACACAACGCATCAGAGACATTTCGTCTAAGATCCTCGAAGCAATTTGCGTTTTTCTGCATTTTTCTGCCATTCGTTCCCTAAATTGCCCCCCGCCCCTTTTTATGGAATTGTAACCTTCCTTCTTAGCGCCTCACAAACACCCCCCAGCCCACCACCGCCTAACCCCTCCGAAATTTGGAAAGGAATGAAATTATTGCTTTTTACTCCAAGCTGACATCAAGCATCTATTCTCCCTATTGTTCTGGATCTCACTGGGGAAAGTCTGATTTTGAATTATTCCTGGGTTCATTTGCACTGAATAGCAAATGATTTGGAATCGCCCTGGGATGTCTTTGCACAGAGCATGTTTTGTTGCCAGACCGCGTGCGTGTGGCAAGAGAAACAAAAACTTTGGAAAACATTGATGTGGGACGTGTCACCTGTCGATTTTCCCGATTAAAACCGAATATCAGCAGCGCATTCCAGTTTGTCCATTTTCTTTATGAATCCCTTAAAACACACACACGCACACAAACATATACAAACACCCCGTTGCTTTCATCTTAGTGGCAAAACTTTCTTTAAAGCGAAAGAAACAATCGCTGGACAGTGTCAAAACAAGGCAACTCCTGCGGCGTTGGGAGTAGAAACTTTATTACAAGTTGTCACAAAACTGGGACACCCGCGCCCGCCTTATTTTGGGGGGGTGGGGGGAGGGAGGGAGGGAGGGGGAAGACAAAAAAATGCTCGAAGCTTGTCCGAGGAAGCGATCACACAGGCCTTTTATTTTAACAACTGCAATAATAACAAAAACAATAATAAAATAGGAACGACTTGTTTATATTACTGCATGCTCTACTGGCTAATTTAACAGTGGGGAACTTTCCCCGTAAAAGAAAGACCTGGTAATTAGAGGCTTTAGATATCGACTCCACGGGTTGTAATCCTGAGGGATATTACAAATAAGAGCCAGTTAAACTGTCCTGCCCTGCAAGACCCCTCCCCTCCCGAAAAAAAACCTGAAAAACCTTTCTGGGAATCGCTTTATTTGTTAAAGAAACAGCGACCCAAGTGGAATTCCAATGGCTAATATATGATCGTGTTGCTATGGGTTACTGTAAACAATGCAAAGAAACTTACGGCAAAGAAATACTTTGCAACTCTCTGATCATATGTAGTATCGGGTACATTTCATTCGGATCTTTGACAGACTGTGTTCAGCAGGTGAGATAGCAGCGTCAGGTATCTCGGCCAGACTGTACCCCGCAGGGATGTTCAGTGGTCCTTCCTCAGATGACTTATTCCCAATAACACAAACCCAAGCCTTTCATTCAAAAGCAACATCCCTGGTACCAGAAGGGGTATCTCCAAATGAGGCAGCGTCGCTCAAACACATTCATCGCAGTGACTGGGGAACCACAAGAGTCTCTCTCATTGCCCACAGCTGGTTTGAAAATGTTAAATCTGTAAATGCACCGCACGCCCAAAACTACCCAATCACCCAGATTTTAAGAAATTTAATCAGGACGTGTGCGCGTATTTCGCTGCCAGGGCCAGCATTTATCACTCTTCCCTAACTGTTCTCAAGAAAGTGACGGTTGCCTTCCTGAACCGCTAGTCTATTGCAGCTGAGGCCACACAACTTTACTTAAAGAATTCATGTTTTATTGAATCTTTAACCCATTTGCTATCTCTGAATCGCTTCAGTATGTCCTGTGGATGTGAAAAAGCTCCACATAGAATTGTTTGTTGTACATTTTACAGTCATAGTTCATTTAGCACGAAACAGACCCTTCGGTTCAACACGTCCGTGCCGACCAGATATCCTAAAATTAACTAGTCCCATTTACCTGCTTTTGGTCCATATCCCTCCAAACCTTACCTATTCATTTACCTTTCCAAATGTCTTTTAAATATTGTAATTGTGCCCTACCATTTCCTCTGGCAGCTACTGGCCGTTCAGCCCTGCAGGTACATGCTGGTCTTTACGTTGCACATAGTCACACAGAGACAGGCACATAGGCAGATGGTCAAAGACAGATACATCGATAAACAGGTAGATAGTGATGGACAGACAGACTAATAAATGGTGACTGACATGGACAGGAATAGACACAGATAGGCAACGAGAGACACAAAGAGATAGCAACAAGCATACGGATAATGACAATCACACACAAGGACCGACAGATTGACAGAGACAAATACAGGCAGAGACAGACGCAGTAAAACAACGACAGTCGGGCAAAGGGAATGGCAGCGTCAAATGTAGCCAGCGAGGGACAGAAACATACAGGCAGGGATACATGACGGATAACTAACTGAATATGGAGATTGACAGATCGATTAATTAATCTGATGTTCAGCTTAAAGGTGTCCGAAAATTATTTGATGCTGCACTAAAAAGAGCTAACTCAGGAATGAAGATTACAATTACAATTTTCGGACAGAGACAAGATTGCAAAGTTTATACGACATTGGAACACACACATTAGATTCAAAATAACATCAATTTTTGTAAATTGTAAGAGTGGGCAGTTCCTAAAATTGGAATTTATCTCCCACTTTAACCTGCAAACTGGTTAGTGAGCGGACCTCTGAGTTATTGTCCAAGGTCTAATCTTGTATGAGCGTGTGAACTACAGAAAACAACAAAAAAAGTTTATAGTTAAGTCAGAGTACATCCATCGTCGTGGACAAATGAGCTGGCAGTCTCCTGAAGGGGGATGTCAAGAGAAACTCAATGGCATGATGCTAACTGAAGGGAGCCTGTGCTCTCTGGCGGAGGCAGGAGGGGCCTGGTCTGCCCAAAGTACACAGACATGCGGCCGAGGGCTGGAGCTCTGTGTTTGGGTAAAGCTCAGAGACAATACCTAGCCCCCAAAGTCCACCTCGAAGCCAACCCTAGCCATGGCAACCACTGTATTCAGTGGTCCATGGCAGCGTCCGAGGTATGTGCATAATTGTGCCGGCTCCTTTTCTCGCACTGGCAAACTATTTTTAAACACAGTATAGATGTTGCCTTTTTTTGTGTGTGACATATTTACACCTCAGTCCCTGTTTGTCCCACTTGTTTATGACCGTCCAGCTCAAACAATGGGGGTTGCGTGCATCCTCCCCAGACACACACACACACAGACCTTTTCCCCTCTGCATACCTAGAAGAAACGAAGAAAGATAGCCAAATTTAGAAGGGAACAAACGTGTCACTAAGCCATT